ATTCACTTGTGTTGCTTGCGAACGGAAGTTGTGTTGGTTTTTCACAAATATCAAAATGCAAAGAAATAACAAAATCAAAATGTTCAAAATGTTCATTCTGGTACGTTCCAAGTGAAGATGGCACGTCATGTGATTCACAAGCTGTTTGGTGGGTCATTCTTGTTGCGGTTTTGTTTTTACTTATTGTGTTATTTGTTCTCATCTTGCTGATTGTTATTTTAACAAAAATCATATTCAACAAATATCATTCACATGAAATTGTAAAGACAACAACACTCTTTGCAATGAATAAATCCAACATCAATTTTGTTTTTCTCCAAGGCGGTGTTTGTGTTTCTTCAAATTTAATAGACTTAAATTCGGACATCGAACAGATTGAAGTCAATGTAGAGACTCGGCAATTACTATGTGTTGGAAACACAAACAAAAACGCCATCAAAACACAATTTACAATATCATCTAACATCACAAAGTTTACAATTCGTGTTGATCCAGAGGTTTTTACACTTAAAAGTGGCTATGCGTGTGAGTTTTCTATATATGTCAAGCCATTGTGTTCTTGCAAAATTAACAGCACAATTCATTTGGTTTCCAAAAATTTAAAAACAAATGAAGAAAAATACAACGAAATTTTGCTTGTTGGTGTGACACAACAGACTACTCGAATTGATTACGATGAATTAATTGAAGATGAGAAACTTGGCGAAGGATCCTTTGGTATTGTCTACAAAGGAAATTATAGAGGAAATGTTGTTGCAATCAAAAAGATGAAAACTGCTGTTGACAATGATGATTCGATGGATGAATTTGACAATGAAGTGACAATGCTTGATAAGTTTAGGTGTGAGTATATTGTTCATTTTTATGGCGCAGTGTTTATACCAAGCAAGGTGTGTATGGTAACAGAATTTGCACAATATGGAAGTTTACAAGACTTAATGAAACACAAAACAAGTGATGAAATTAATATCAAATTGCGAGTCAAATATATGATAGATGCAGCAAAAGGTGTTTCATATCTACACGAAAACGGGATCTTACACAGAGACATCAAACCAGACAACATTTTAATATTTTCAATTGATATAAACGAAAAAACGAATGCAAAATTGACTGATTTTGGGTCATCAAGAAATATCAATATGATGATGACTAATATGACATTCACTAAAGGAATCGGAACACCAAAGTATATGGCGCCTGAAGTTTTGAACAAAGAATATTACAAAAAAGGCGCAGATATCTATTCATTTGGTGTGACGTTATTTGAATGTGTCACATGGAAAAACCCATATCCTAAAGAACAGTTTAAGTTTGCATGGGATATCGTCGACTTTGTTGTGAGTGGAAAACGCCTGAAAAAGCCGGCTAATTTGAATGACAACATATACAACATTGTTAATGATATGTGGTGTCAAGACGTTCGCAAACGAATAGAAATGAATAATGTTGTGTCAAAACTTGAATGTATAAATGCATTTTAATTGTTGGAAATTAAATAATAATAATATTCATTAATTGTATTTGAAAGTTTTGTGATTAACTTTACAATATTTATCCATAAACGTATATTATAACATATCGTATAACGTATTTACTATTTACATACAAAAATTGAAATATAAAATTCAACATGATTAAAAAACATGTTAATTGTGATTCAATTAAAACCAAAATAAAAAACCTGTTTTTTTCTTTTGGTTCACAACACTTTTGCAATTTTTAAAGCAGAATTGGTCACAATGAACAACAGTTGTTGGCACACAAATGTCGAGAGAATTACAATCCTCAAAACATCCACCTCTTAAGTATTTTACATTTTTGTGTATATTAATAGTGTTCAACTTTCTGCATTTGAAAAAGGTGTCTTCGTTAATTTCACTGATTCCATTTGGAAGTTGAACTTTTTCCAGCATAGAACATTCCATAAAACACGAGTTGTATATTTTTGTGACCTCATTTGGAATTTCAATTTCTTTCAGTTTTAAACAACGACTAAAACATTCTTCTGCTAAATTTTTCAACTTCTTTGGCAATGAAATTGTTTTCAATTCGCTACATCCTGAAAAGCACCTATTTCCAAAACATGTAATACTGTCAGGAAAGGAAACGGACACCAATGATACACAATTATAAAAGCATTCACATCCAATTCGGTCATAATTTCCTTGAATATCAACAATCGACAATGATGAACAACTATAAAACGCTTGTTTTGCTAAATAATCGTTTAATTTTGGTATTTCGACTCTTTTTAATAATGTGCACCTTTCAAAGCAGTTATCCCCTAAAAATTCTATCGACTCAAAATCAATGGTTGCTAATTTCTTACAATTATCAAAACAAAAATCTTTAAAATATATAACAGCATTCAACATACTAACTAAACTGAGTTGTTCACAATTTTTAAAGCATTCATATTCAAATGAAGTAACGGCATTTGGTACAACAATCGACTTTAAAGCACTACAACCATAAAATGTGCAATTATTAATGATTTTCATATAAGACGGCAAAATTATCAATTCGAGCAAATGGCATTGGACAAAACACAAACGTTTTATGTCGGTCACATTGTTTGGAATTTGAATTGAAGTCATTTGTGACGACGAAAAACATTTTTCTCCAAGACTTCTTATTGAAGTTGGAATGACTTCTCCAAAATTCAGTCTGTCTTTTTCGGTATATACAACGTTTTTAAAACAAAAATTCGAGTTTTTGTGAACTTGAGTCAAAGTATAATCTACTTCAAACCAAATATTTATTTGATAAAATTTTGTTTCAAAATTAAAAACTGAATCTTTCCCAGTGCGTTCAATTTTGTTAAAAAGGACATTCCCAAATAATTCGGATTCTTTCGACCAAACGTTAAGAGTCTCCAGATGACTAAAATATTTTAATGTTGTTTTGTTAATTTGAATTGGGTTGTTGTGAAATTTATCAATGTTCCCTTCATACTTTTTGCTTACAAATTCTAAATTAATGAAGTCTATAATAGTTAAAAAATATTGAGATACAACCATTATGTGATATCCGTCTAAACGACTCATGTTATATTTATCAGTTTGTTATTATTTAAAAAAAACATTTTTAAAAAACTATCATAAATGATTTTCAAAAAAGTGGAAAACAATCTGACTCGTTTTCAAATTATAGTAAAATATAATTTTAATGCTATAATTTAAAAAATAATTGCTATTATTTTAAAAACATTTATTAAATAATTTATTAAATAACCCAAAAAATAAAAATAAAAACAAACATAAAATTAAAAAATAAAAATACTCATAAAACTAAACAATTAAAAATAAAAGTTTTGTTTAATTAAAAATCAAATTTTAAATAAAAATAAGTTATAATATTAAAAAATCTCTACAAAAATTATTCATTTAAGACAAATAGACACTTTTGACTGTAAACCAATTATAAGTTAGCCTTTTTAATAACTAAAAATAACTAATAATAATTTATAATTATCAAACATAATAACACCTCAAATTCAATTACTTGTTACTAAAATGAATTAAAAATGGACCAAATCTTTAATTGACATCAAAACATTTTGTCCCAATTAATGTAACAGTTGTTGGAACAACAACATTAGTTAAATTTGAACACTTTTCAAAACAGAATAATCCAAGTGACTCTACACTGCTTGGTATTACTAACTCACTCAAACTTGCACACCTCGTAAAACATCCATTTCCAATAATGTTAACACTCGTTGGTATAACAACTTGTATTAACATACTACAATCAGAAAAACATTTGTCTTGCAACACTTTGAGTTTGTCGGGCAAATCAATTTCTCTCAAATTTTCACAATATTGGAAACATTCTTCTCCGATATAAGAGACACTTTTTGGAATATTAATTTGACTCAAATTTTTGCATTGATAAAAGCATTTATAATCAATTGACTCCAATTTTGATGGTAAAACCACTTCGCTTAGTCTAATGCATCGTTCAAAACAGTTCTCTTCAATTGATTTTATATTATTTGAAAATACAACTTTATTTAGATTACCACACCCCATAAAACATCCACTTCCAATAGAAGTGACACTGTTGGGTATTATAATGGTATTTAACTTGGTGCAATTTATGAAACATCTCCGACCTAAAGAAGTGACAGATGGTGGGATATTCAACCCAAATTTTTTTTGATCTTCGTATGTGTAATTAATACGTTTAAAAACAACTTTTTGTTTGTGATTTTTATAAAATGTTGTGTAATCAATTTCAAACCAGACAATGACTTGGAAAAACTTTTTCTTTTTAAAAATGTTTTTAACTGAAGCATTTTGGTGAGATTTTGCAGAAGGCAGCAAAATTGTCCCAAAATTCTCGTCATTGGTGTCAAAAATATAAAGTGTTTCTATATTTGTAAAATAAGTGATTGTTTTTGGGGTCAATGGAACCGGATTGTAATGGAACTTTGAAATCGTATCTTTAAATTTGTGACATACAAATTCTAAATTGATGAAGTCTTTGATTGTCTTGAAGTATTTGGTAACTATCATAATATTGTATCCATCGAGTTTGGACATTGTATGTTTAAAATATATTCGAATTGTTGTTAAGATCTATTGTAAGATCTTATCTAATTAAAAACAATTTCAAAAAATTAAAAACATTAATAATTTTTTTATTAAAAATATACTATATAGTATTATTTGTTATTTTTTTCATTTTAATTTATGTTAAATGTAAAATCAGAACTGCAAACCCCAATTAACACTTTCACAACCCAAAACTTTTTTTAAGAAGAAAAATAAGTAAAAAGGAAATTGTCCAAATCATTTTTTATTATTTTTTATTCAAAAACCCCTTTCTAACCCAAACCAGCCAATAGTCAGTTTTATTTTACTTAAAATAATTAACAAATGAGAACTCAATTACCTAAGATTGATCAAAAATAATCTTTTGGATGAAATTCATATCGCTTTATCGTGTTTCAACATTTAATATAAAAACGCAACATCATCAACCCACTTTATGACAAACAACGTCAAATAGTCACATTAACAAATATGACGACTATACATACATTATTATCGTTATAATCAAATGACAATATACTCTTTATATAATAAACAACCAAATATATTAAATTATCATTTAACCCTATTTTTCTTTCTAATGCTTTGCTCTTGTTTAACACAAATAAACTCGTTCATGTTTATTTGTGTGACTAAAAAATATACAATTCAAATTTGAGTTGATAAAAAAAATAAATTGGAATTAACAAAAATTTGTTTTGTGTATGAAGTCAAAAAAGGGTTTAGGTAAAAGAAAAAAATAAAAACTTATTATTATTACGTTTCTGTTTTGAACGTGTTAAATATGTGTTTTTGAAAAAGAAAAATAATATTTCATTTTTTTGAAAAAAAATGAAACAAATTACAAGAAACAAATTATTGCGTAAATAATGCCTTTTCAAATGTTTTGCTTAAATTACACTTGAAATTATTTTACAAATAATATAACCAATAGTATATTACAAAACAAATTAATACAAAATATAAAATTAAAATAAATAAATAAACTGTTATTCAAAACTCTGTATAGTTTCCAAAATTTATAAAACCCCTTTGTCCCAAATTTTCATTATTACTATTCTTTATTGGTTTTATTTTTTTATTTTTTTGTTGAAACAACAACGGTACACAGTTTTAAACCCCCTTACAACCAATACAGTTTCAATTGTTGAATAAAAAATCGCGAAATCACTTAAATATGGGGTATATCTTTATTTTTTTTAATTTTCCATGTTCATTTTTAAACTGTATAATACCATTATACAGTTGACTGAATCGTGGTGTTTTTGGTCATAGCTTTTTAAAATTAAGAGACAATCTACAATGTGGTTATTAATTTCTTTGATATCAAGAAGACTACAGTGTGCCTTTTTTACTGCTTCGAGTAGTTCTTCAAAATAAACAACTTGACTTTTGAAGTACTCCAATGTTTCATTGACATCAGTAATGGCGTAATTTTGGAGATTGTTATAGTTGTATATACCTCTGTTAACATAAGCATATAACTGCGTGTTGAATTGAGTAACCATTTCAATTTTTGTGGTGTTCACATCTAGTAACCAAAAACGAGTTTAATTGTTTTGTTGTATCCAAAACAAAGTCCAAAAATTCAATTTTCTTAGAACGGACATTTTGTTCGATAACGTATAAAATGTCGATTAAATCAACTCAATCATTTGTTCATTGTCTTCTCCATCTCCATCTGTATTCTCATTACATTGACAATAATCATCTTTAAATGGGTATATATTTTCATAACCCATATTCACGATTTCATTGACTGTATCTACATATTCACCATTTTCTAAATGAATTGACCAATATAAATTCATTAACCAAGTGTTGATTTCATGATTGTCTTCACTCTCCATTAATACACAACTTGAGAACAATCCAGTGTGTACAATACAGTTGTGTATAGTTTTCGGAGTAACACGTGTCCAAGCATCCAACAAAAGTTCAATAGATTCCATCACCGTCAACTGCTGTTGTTTTACAACAAAGTCACTCTTTTTACTTTTTGGTGACAGGGAGTATATCGATAATTTCATCAATTTCGAGTTTTAAAAGAGCGTCAAGTAAATGGTTTGTATCGCAACCAAGAATGTCCTGAATTATAGCCTTTTCGGTATTATCACATTTGTTGATCTGTTCTGTTAAAACATTCTTCTTTTTAAAGGCAATATATTCATCTTTATTTCTCATTTTTTTAATGTGATCCTTTATAAAGTTTTTATGGTAATATTTTTTTAATGTAGATATAATTCCCTGATCAATCGGTTGTAGCTTACTTGTAATCCCTGCTGGAAGGCGGATAATCTCGATATTTGATGGGATGTAATCATCTTTGTGTGTCGGAGCATTATCAATTAAAAGCGCAATGAATCTTTTTTCTGCTTTCAATTTTTGGTCCCATTCTTTCGAAAATTCTTGCCAAATATAAACAGACATCCAACTCGAGTTTTGTTGTTTATAAACAACTCGAAGATTACCAAATTTGGATTGTGAACTTCCTTTGGGTTTGACAGCTTTGTGAATCACAATAGGAGGAAGTTTGTCACTTCCATCACAATTACAACAAAACATTATGGTAATCCTTTCTTTGTTCGTTTCAACATTTTTGAGTGATTTTTTGGTTGTCAAACTTCTTATTGGCAACTGCCTGTAAAACAATCCAGTTTCATCTATGTTGTATATATTTGAATTGCTATATATTTGAAGTCTTTCTTTAAAAAAAGCAATTTCATCAACGAAAAGTGGCAAATTGACAAAGTCTTTCTTACCGACACAAAAATGGTATTTCAACACGAACTTCTCTTTGAAGTGTCTAACAAAGGAAGATACATCTTTGATTACAACATCTTTGAATTCTTCTTTTCTAATAATATCATGTACTTTTTTCTTGAAAGACGTAGTCATCTAAGTAATAGTTTGAGTATATAGACTTCGATGCATATTCATTAAGTAGTTCAATGATTTTACGTTTTTGCCTTTTCTGATATGCTTGAATGTCTTTGTATTTCTTCTTCTGTACGCTTCAAGTTGTATAATGTCAAATCCATATTTTGGATACTTTGCTTCAAACTCTATTAATATATTTTTCCAGAAATTTTTATGCTTTCTCAACTCCATAAATTTGTAATGTAATTGTTTGTTCTGTTTTTAACAAATAAATAATTATTGATGTAACAAATCTATTTAATTAATTAAATAAAATATTTATTATAGTAAATTGAGTTGAATATAAAACAAATAATAAAATTATAGTTTAGTTTTTAAAGAATGTTCTTCACAATTCTTCCAAATCCGACAAATAGATTATTTTTTTGTGCAAAGATCTCGACAAATTAACCCCTTTCATTGTATCTTACATTTTTATAGCGTTGTTTTTATTTGTCAAGTAAAGTATGTATGATAACTGAATTTGCATAACATAAATGTTAAACTGATTTTATTTAATTGACGAAACTAAAATGTAAAGGTTTTTATTTCAAATGGAATTAATGTTAAAAACATCAAAGGTAATTTTGTATTTATTTGAGAATTGCATTTTACATAGATATTCAAAACTAATAAAATAATGTATTTTGCATCAACACTTTAATGGTTGAATCAAATAATTTGAATTGAATACTTTGGGCACTTCAACAAATTTAATTTTGTTAATGACTAATTTAAAAAAAGTTGGGCTTATTAAAAGCCACATTTCAATTTTTAACAAACAACAGTTGTGTTTATTGAATACTTGGTACAAGCAAATTAACATTTTACAAAAATAACAAGTGAGTTGTTTTGATATATCGATGTAAAGTTTTTATTGTTAATTAGAACAGTTGTTTTATTTTGTATACCATTGTTGTTTTATAAATTGGGTGATGATTATTTTTTCTATAATCAGATTATTTTTCTTTTTTATATATTTGCTTTTTCACTTTAAATTGTTTTATTTATAATAAACAAATGTCACACTATACAACAGTCAATTCACATTGCTTTTTTTTCATACATGACATATTAAATATCTGTTATTCTTTTCTCAAAATGTCATTTTTTAGCTATCAATAATATAAACTATTACAACATTGATTTACATTACGATAATATGATTTTGTGTATTGGTATATTGCACATATACCAATTAAATAGCTAGAAAGAAATTAAATACCATATTTATAAAAACTATAAATAAAGTAATTAAAGTGAATTAATGAAACCCAAAGCCCGTGAGTGTATTTCGGGAATATCCAAATGGTGCTCCAAATAGATTTTGTTGTGGATTATCAGCGTTACTGACTTGATTTAGTCGTTGTGTTAATGCATCAATTCCATCAAAAATTTCGACGTCACTACTTTCTATTTGTGTGATGTTTTCTGGCTTTTTCGACATCACAAAACACCTTTTGCACATTTTCAATACGACTTGTTCTGTCTCATTTCCAATCATCAATGATAAATTCTTGCATTTCTCAAAAGTTGCTGATTTTGATGTTATATTTATTTGGTCAGGTACATTGTCGATGTTTTTCATTACTAAATTGTTCAAACACATTTTCTCAAATAACATAGGTAATTCGGTTGCATCAAAACATAAATCGCCGACATTATGAAACATCCCGGAGCTGTTGATCATTTGAATTTGAGACCGTTCAAAGTGAATTCTGTTGTATTTTCCCTCCCTCGTTAAAAAATTGATCGATCCATTTGATTCGACAATATCCACTTCCTTTGTTTTACTCATTAATTCAATATCAAAGTTAGTACAATTGCGCATTTTCAGTTCAACCACATTTAGTGCCGAATTTACTATTCCAAATACAAAAACAGTGACAAAATTGCAATTCTTCATTTCTACTCTTCCAAACGCATTTGAAGAGAAATCTGGGAACTTCCCAATGAAATTTTCCAATTTTATATTTGGTAAAAAATCGATGTGTTGTTCAATAAGAAGTGTTGTGCAAATACAATTTTTGATAAAAAAATTACGACTGTTAACTTTGACATTTTCAGTTGTGGCATTTTGTGGAAGTGATGGATTCACACAAATACCATTTTTTTGCTCAGTAACGACCTCACCAAATATATTTCGGCGTACTGATCGTAGAACAAATCCATTCAAATTTCCATTTTTTTCCAAATTTTGTTGGACTATATTGAAATTGGTTTGATTTGGATAAACTGTTGTTTGTGGGAATACTAGTGAAGATGTTTGTGAAGGTGTTCTGCTGTCTTTAGTCAAACAAATTTGCTTCAGTTTCTCGTACTCTTCTGAACTACATAATTCACGAGTTTCACTTTCAGTACACTTTAAAGGACAAATTGGGTGTTTTGATATGTCGAAATCTGTGGGGAACGTGTATGTTGAATCTAAATATTCAACTTCTTCAAGTGAGTTAAAATTTCCTTTGAAATTGATTGCTTTTGATGAAATAATTTTCAGATGTTTCATATTCGAATTATTAAAATTAAATTGACAATTATTGCAATACTCAATTGTGACAATTTCACAATTTTTAAAAGTGTTTGGAAAAATGAAATTTTCGATATTGAACAACAACACACTTCTTGTATGTGTGAAATCGATATCAACATAATTCAACAGTGCTTCAAATACAACGTCTTGAACAATTACACCAACTAACTTCTTAAGTGTTGAATTAGAAACCACCAATTTCTCTATTTTGGTGTTCTTTGCAATTTCAAAATCTTTACAATTGTAGATAGACAAAGACTTAATAAAATCTGTTTCTGACGAGATTTTTGAATATGAAGAATTTGCAAATTTGGCACTCAATTTATTATTTTTGGTATTCAAAAAGTTGAATGTGAAATTTAGACACGAATTGAATTCAAAAGTTTCACACAATTCGCAGTCAATATTTAAAGTGCAGTTTGAACATCCTTTACATGCAATATTCTTTGCACATTCTTTATTGATAGAAAACTCGGAATTTCTGACGTTATAGAGTGAAACTTGTTTCAATGGTTCTAGATGTTCATAAGAAATACCATTCAGATTGACAAGTTTTAACTCTTCCACGTTTACAAAAGGAAATTGTAACTCTCTCTCCCATACCTGTAATTTATCACAATTTTCGGGGGTTTCTGTTTGTTTCTTTTTAATTATTTGAGTGTTGGTCATTTCAACTTTTTTAACCGTGTCAAAACAGTTTGAAAATTGGATAGTGACATTTTCTGAGACGAACTCTTCAACTTCAAAAACTTCAGGAAGTATCACACAGTCGTCTTGTTTCTCGAGACGTTCAAATGAGTTTGTTATATATTCATTTTTCAATAAAAGTGACTTGACGCACTTTGGAAGATGCAAAAGACTCAGGTCATAGACTTTACCAACAAAATGGGTTTTAGTTGCTTCACATTTTTCAACAATTTTTTCGATCTTTTGTAAATCAGAATTTTGTATTAAATTTTTTGTCTGAAATATTAAGGCGTTGTTTTGGATGTATGGAACATAATAATTGAAATTTTCGATATCAATGTTGTTCGAGTAATTTCGACAATTTTGTGTTGAAACGACATTCCCAATGAAAGAACCACCGTTTGTCCAGTTGATATCAATTTGTGTTGAATATTTCATTGGAAGTTCGTTAATTCTATTAAATGGTAAATTAATAGCTGCATGTGTTCTGGTTTCAAAAGTATTTGTTCCAAATTTTAAATCAAAATAAATTGAAACATTTTTTGGGAATATTTTTTTAAAGTCTTCACAAGTTTCATAGTGGTCAAAGTAGTCCAGAAATTTAACAAAACAGTTGATTGACATAGTCACCTTTTGACGATAAGTTTCTACAATCAGTTGGAACAATTTTTGTGGATCATTGGTTCCAAATTTTGATGAACTACCAATTATAAAATTCGTCATTTTTTCACAAATTTTTAGTGTTATATTTTCAATAATTTCAGGAGTGCATTCTATTTTGTAATTTCTGATAAAAATTGGTTTTGAGAGATAACCAAATGATACTGGTAAGAAGTTACAGTTCAACGTGTCGGGGTGAAAAAAGTCGTAAAATTTTTCAACGTCTAGTGTTGAGGTAAGCCATGGATTCACTTTTAAAGAAGTCACTGCAGAGTTGGTGGAGTGGTTCACTTGAATGAATGTAATGACGTCGGAAAATGTTGGGAGATACAACGATACTTGCATTAAGTAAATCATTTCAAGGCGCGACATCTTTATTTTTATTTATAATTTACGAGTAACATGTTTTTAAGTTTTAAAATATTGAGGTTTTTACTTATATTTATTGAAAACTGTTATATAATGATATGAAATACAACTTAAACTATAATAATAATACTTTTTACCAAAAAGTATAGTTATCGTTTAATTAAATAAAATAATCGATATTTTTATTTTTGGTTCAAAAATTGTATTTATTTAATATAATAAACTTAAAAACATTTGAGAAATTCAAACTAAAAATTAAATGAAAAACAATTTGGAAGAACAAGTTAATGTGTTTTTACTTGGTGATGGTTATGTTGGAAAAGTTTTTTATTTATAATTAATAAACAAAGAAATTTATATGTAGAATTCTATTGTACAACGATTTGCTTATAATCATTATAGTGATAAACATGAATTTTATTATGGGGATAAGTCCACTGATAGAGTTGGTTTTTGGCTTAAATTAATCACGTTGCACTCAAACATAGAAAATGCTTATAGATCGAAGACTTGTTAATGTGACGTTTTGGGAACCATGTTTGTATATTTTACTTTTATTAACTAATAATACTTTACTATGAATAAAGAATTTACATTAGACAAATTATTTTCTTATATTTATAAAACATTTTATTTTCGTTGTTATTTATATTTGAAAAAATCAAGTAATTTGTAATTTAAATTAACAATTCGATAAATTTGAAGATTTGATTGGAAGGTGAAGTCACACACTTCAAGTCTGTGTTTTTGCGTACTACAAAATCATGTCAAAGTGCATTTGTTTTATGTTGTTCTCGTGATGACAATTTGTCTTCAAGTTCTTTAAATTATTGGTATACAAACGCTTCAATTTTACAAGACGAATACCAACGACAACTTCAAAGAGTTTTAATCACAAAAAGTGATTTGCCACAAAATGAAATAGTCTTTGAAGAAGCACACAAATTTGCAGTGAAAAATAAAATTGAAATCTTTGAGTGTTCAGCAAAAGAAATGGCTGGTGTCACAGAATTTATTTGTTCGATTGTCCATGATATTTTTAGTGTAGATTTGACAGTTGCTAAAATTGTAAAAAATAAGAGCACGGATTTTTCATCAAAAGAACATGAAAATAAATGTATTTTCGTTTATTTTGTTATTTATTTTTCTTGTTTAATTACTGATAAAAGTGTGTGATAGTAATATCGTTGTCTAGAATTACGTTGAATAAGTATTAAATTAATAATTTTAATCACCAATTCCATTTAATTATTATTTTATAAAAAATTAAAAAACAAGATAATTTTATTAAATTAATCATTTTTAACATTCAGATTTGGGAAATAATAGAGTATAAAACGTATTCATGTTAATACCAAAAATGTCAACAAAAACATTTGAGACACGTTTTGTAAAAAATAATAAAAACAGGAGATGTATTTCATCTTTATTAACTACAAACTTAATTACATGTAACATGAAAAAATGAAAATAAATACTATGAATAAATGGCTATTTATTGAATGAATTATGTGATTGTATAACTTGTAATATTATTGATAAAAATTGTTTGAGTTGTTCTCAAAATAATAAAAAAGATAATGTACCATTATTAAATAATGGAAATAATATTTTTTGATGTGATGGGAAAAATGTCAAAAACAATGTGATGGTGTGTATTGATGCATTTGGCCTGATTCCAGTGTGCCAAATTGGTTATTATATTCATTTTGAACAAGTGTGTACTAAATATTTATTGTATTGTGTTTCTACCAACAAAAAAAACAAGTAAAAAGTAATTTTAAACCCCAAATATACCCAACGGTTTTTGTCCATTGAATGTGTTAAAACCACGATTATTTTGTGGTGTTACTTGCCCAAACCCATTAACATAATTTATTTGTCTCTCCTCATGTTGAATTTTTTCCTTTTCCGATGTATCTATTTCAGTAGAGTTAGTGACATCAATGTTATTTGGATTTTTTGTGTTTATTTCAAATTTGGAGCAATTTTTAATTGAAATCAAAGTGTTGGGCTTTAATATTCTAATTTTGAAGTTTTTGCAATGATCAAAATTTGCTGATTTGGCGACAAGTAGCATAGAATTTCCCATTCTTATATTATCGTTATTGATTTCCATTAACACACCAACACAATTGTTTCTAAAGAAATAATCCAAATATGTGTTTTCGATTGTCAAATTTTGTATCATATCGAGATCTTTGTTAAATAATACGCCGCGGTTGAAATTGCAATTTCTAAATACAACACTTTCAAATTGTGAATTTGCTTTTGTGAATTTTACATCCCCAAGTGAATTAGTAATTTCAAGATGTTTAGTTATCGAAGAGAATATCCATCTAATCCCGTTGTATTTGTTAATAGTGACATTAACAGCTGAAATTGGTTCTTTGTATTTAAACATTCGATTTGAATAGTCCACATCATCACAGTTTTCAACGTGTAAGTTGCCAATTAACACCCCTGACAAATCAATCATTTTCCCAATAAAATTTGAAATGCTCAAAGATGACAATAATGTTATTTTCGTTTTAATTTTTAAGCTTTGGCAAACGTAGTTCTGAAAGTGACATATTGGCTTTGTAACAACAAGTGTCACATTTTGAGTTAAAAATGATATAAACTTGTTGAGTTTAGTAGTGTCATATTGGGCAAGAATTGGTCCGTATGGTTCATTGAACTGATGTGTCAAATATCTTTGAGCTTCTGTGTATTCCATTTCAAGTTCCTTGAATTTTGATATTGTCATACCTTCATTACTATCACTTTCTTCTTTTATTTCGACATTTTCAATCGGCAGTTTCGTGTTTTGTGGGAACTTGACAGAACATCTGCCAACAAGTACACAACACTCCACATTATGAAATTCACCAGAAAACACCAAATTGTGGGAAGACTCAATTTTGATGTTTTTTAAATGTTCTTTTTGAAATACGAAATTTAAGTGCTCACAAAATGAAACTTCCAAAATTTCGCAATTCTCAAAAATTGTGTTGAACGAGAAACGACTGAGACCAAACAATCTCAGAAATTTTGTGTGTGTAAAGTCAATTGGAAGGAACTCCGTAATGTTATTGAGAATAACACTTTTTGCAGTAAATTTTGTTGAATTATTAAATTTTGTATTTTCAATGATAACATTGCTCATTTCAATGTTATTCATCATTTTCACACCAGTGCATTTCTTTAGTGAAAATAATTTTATTGTGTCTTTATCAACTGTAATCGTTGGAGTCAAACACTCAATAAATTCCAAACTGAGTGAATTTGGTTTTGCGTTGATAAATTCGAAAATTGTGTTTCGGCACTGTTTAAATATAAAAGTGTCTAATTTATTACAATCAATGCAAAAAGATGATTTTGTTACATTTTCGATATTTAAATGTTCGCAATTTTGTCCAACAAATAATTCGATATTTTTAGAATTCTCACACACTTTTAATGTTGTTAAATGTTCGGGTGTTTTAAAGTTAATATTTAAGCACTTTTGGAGCTCAATTTCCTCGACATTAGGAAAAGGGAAGTTGTTGTCCATTTCCCACTCTTTATATGTATCTCTTGTTGTATCATTTTGAGTCACTTTTTGCAACACAAAAGTTGAGTTTGTTGCTTTGATTGTTTTGACTGTTGGAACAACATCAGCAAATATCAAATCAATTTCAGAAATCGACAAACTTTCAATCTTCATATTACAAGGTAACCAAACACTGTGCCTTTCATTTGTATACCAAGAAATACTGAGGTCTTTAACAAAATCTGGAATACTTAATTTTGAGATATCACCAAACGTTTTGAGTTCAACGAATGTTGAATAACACTTGTTAAATATATCTACAACAGTTTTAAAGTAATTATCATCGTCATATCCATCAATTTTAACAAGAAGTCTTTTTCTATACAATGGTTTGATAAATTGAAATATTTTTGGTGTTATTTCTTGTGTGTAATTTTGGCAATTTGGAGTTAAACGCACCTTTTCTGGTTCGGTTGTGTCAGTCCAGTCAATATTTATTTGACTGTCATACTTTTTAGCAGCAGAATTTATATTCCTGTAAAGAGGTGACATGTCGGTGTAAAAATCGTTACACATTGAATCGACGTGCAACAACACCTTTTTAGGAAAATAAGTGTCGTTCATATTCACATTGTTGTTACGTTCAAAACAGGTAACACACTCACTAAACAACTTTAAAGACATCTCGATGTTTGGTATTTTCCATTTGTAAAGTATTTCATAAAATTTGTTCTCTACGTTAACATTGTTTTGTTGAAATGTGTCAACGGGTTTGGGTTCAACAATAATCAAAGAAGTGATTTTCTCGGCAATATTTTGGTCATTGAGTTTGTTAAAATCGGTCGAAAAGATTTGAACATTTCGAATGTAAACCGCCGTTTCGAGAACTTTTTGAGAGACGATTAATGAGTTGCAATTCACTGTGTCAGGAGAAAAGAAAGTGCAAAACTTTTCAATGTCGTCGGATTTAGAGAACCAAGGATTAACTTTAAGTGATGTGACAGCAACTTGGCATTTTTTGTTGATAGTAATAAAAGTCATGATGTCTTTTAGTGTGGGCAAATAGAGGGAAACTTGCATCAAATAGACCATTTCCATATTCGACATTTTTTGAATTATTTAGTTTTTTATTGTATTTATATTTAATGTAATATTGAGGTTGTTTGTTATTTGTAGGACATTATTTATATATACTTTTTAGTTAATTATTACTTAATAAATTAAACCTTTTTTATAATTAATTTTTTTGAATTAGTGTTATTCTATTTAACTTTCGGACCTACATTGACCTTTTAAATAGATTTATTTTTTCTATTTCGAATCATATTCAAATTAAAATTATAGTAAATAGGAAACTGGGCAGAAATTAGGTCTGGTTCCCGAATTCAAAAAAATGCCGAAAATTCACCTCGAGTTGGTGGAAACCGAGTGAAACAGAGCATTGAATAGAAAGCTCATAAAGACGCACTCAAACGGTCTGTTTGTGCATCGTTTTACCTACTTTCCAAATCCTACACAACCAGGCGTCTCCATTATTACTCGAAAATACCCACGTCATCAATTACTTACCATTTAAATATATATTCAAAACCATTTTTAATAGTATTTTTTTGTTTTTAAAAAAATAATTATTCTAAACAATAAAATAAGTCATCATATTTTTATTTATTCAAAAAACTACCTTAAATTACCAAAAAATAAAACAGAAAACAATTCAATTATGCTACGCTCAACTCTTCGGTAGGTTTACATGACTTTGAGCAGTCCTTTTTTTGGAACTATCTCATCGTCTTCGTTTATAGTTTCATGTACTGGACTATCCATCCCTTCAAAAAAATTAAATTAAATTAAAACACGGTGTACATTAATTCAAGTTGTGATGACAACTTACAAAAAGGACATTTTAGTCGTCAATTCTGCAGATGTTTGAAACAAAAACAAAACACAAAATGACAAAAAGTCAGTTAAGTTGAAAGACAACAACGCTCTTCGGCATAAAATTGTCATTATCAGTCAAATCGTTTTGTTTGGTGGTGTAAGTGGATGGGTTGCAATGACTCCCATTTACACCTTTCTTGTATACACTTATATCATGACCATAACCAAACCCAAAGAAATATGAACTGTCTTGAGGATAATGCCAAAATTTACGATCGGTGTAATTTCCACTTTTCCCAAACTTTTTTGGATTTAAAGTGCCATTTCTCACAAGTGAAAAAATGTACGAACTGCCATTGTTAATCCATTTGTCAACGACATTGATATTTCCTGTAAACACGCCACCAAACTTGTTGTGATTTTTGTCTTCTACCACAAAGCACAAGTTGCTTTTGTTTATAACTTTTGAATCAAACACTGAAGTGCCTTTTGACCAGTCGTCTATGTCCGAGTCAAACACAACACTTCCTATTTTGTACCCCGTCAACTTTTCAAGACATGATTTTTCGTCAAGTGTGAGGTGTTCGCGTTTTTCATTTTCAACATCTTCATCGTGTCGTTTTTTTGCATTGATGAATTTCTCTGATTTTATAATTTGATCAACTTTGGTGTTTTTTACTTGAATGATTTTGTTGATTTCATCTTCAAGTGGTTTTATGTCCATTTTGCATTTCTCTTCATAAAGTGCAATTCTGATATTAAATATCTCATACAGCTTTTCATTGTCACTCTGTATTGAATACATAACCATCTCTTCTTTAATTTTGTTTGACGCGTTATACATATCAGTAACAATGGTGTTGAGTGATGCTGTGATTTTCTTCTTACTTTCAAATACCTTATCAAGTCTGTCGAAATGTTTCTCTTCATTTTCAATGCGTTGTTCAATGTCAAATGACTTGTCGTCAACAAAGTTGAATTCATCTTTGGATTTGTTGATGTCTGACACCGCCTTTGCTGCGTTTGTGCAGAGTGTTGAAAGTGCTGTTAACTCGTTTTCCATTGAATGTTAATGGAGTTTATTTTTTATATTTAATTTTATATACAGTTAGTTTCAAATTAATTTAAAAATGTTCAACAAATAAATATGATTGTACCAAATAAAATAAAAATATTATCAAAATAAATTTAAAGTGTTTCACAAAAAAACAAAAATGTACCTTTTTTCAAATGTCTCATAATTAATTATTATTGTTTCAAATAAAATTCTTTTTGTACAAATTTAAACTAAAATTGTTTCAAAATTGACATTTTTTGTTTCAAATAAAATTAACAAAAACATGAAAATTATAACTTGAATAATTGGCAAATGTTATAACTTCTAAATACATTTAACAAAATAAATGAATACATAAACACATGTTTAAACTTTATAATCAATATGAGTGACTCTATCGAATATGTGCCTAAGTCTGAAATTGCATTGTTCAAACAACCTTTTATAGGACCTTTATGTAAACCTCCAAACACTCCCCCAAACGTTTCTCCGGTTACTGAAAGTACACTTTTAGAACAACAAATCAATTATCATCCTCAATTATCTTCTCGAATGGAAGAAGACACTAAAAAACACCGAAAAAGATGTTACAATACTCTCACGGATGAACAAATTTCATATCTTAGAGAGTTGTATGAAGAAAATGGATTGTCTCAATCCGTTGATTGGTATGTAAATAAAACCAAAATACCAACAGAAAGAGTGAAATTTTATATTAAAAAATTGAAAGATGGAAGCGATATAACAAAGAAGAAGAAAGGAAGAAAACCAAAATATACAGACGACATGTTGAAAGAGGTAACTTCGCTTCTTTGTCAACAAAATATGTCTCTGAGGCAAGCCAAAAAGGCCTTAGCAGAAAAAAATTACGATATTTCTGTATCTTCATTAGACAGGTACATAACCAATGAAAAATTGATGAAAAATGTCAAACTAGATCCTCTGTCATTTACAAAAGTGTCAATACGAGGAAAAGTTGCCAACACATTAGAAAATAAAGAACTACGTGTCAACAGATTGTTAGAGTTGAAAAGTTGTCAAAAAGCCGGATTTGCTATAGTGTTTGTTGATGAATCTCATTGGAAATTGGGTAATGTAAGAACAAAACATTGGGGTTTAAAAGGGCAAAAACATTTTAGAATTTCTCCCCTGTCGACATTCAATATTAGTTGTATATGTTCGATTGCAGAAAGTGGAGACAAATTTTGCAGGGTGTTTAACCAAGTCGTTGATGGAGATATATTTTCTGCTGGATTTAAATTGCTTGTTGAACATTATATCTGTTTGCTTGGAAATGTCGTTTTTGTATTGGATAACGCTGCCGTACATCAAAAAGAAATCATCAAGCTTGCAGAAAATAGAGGCTGCAGAGTACTTTTTAATGCTCCATATTCTCCAGAGTGCAATCCGATTGAAAACATATTTGGTATATGGAAAACTAGAGTTGGTAAACTCGAGAACAATGATTTAAAAGAACTGTTAAAAAATATTGGAGATTGTTTTGAAAGTATCGAAAAGTTTGATGTCAGAAAAGTTATTGGTAATTTTTTCAACGAAATAGCCGAAAAGTGATGAAAAGAAACGGTTTATAGCTAAATGTTTATTATTTTTGTTAATTTTATTTGAAACAAAAAATGTCAATTTTGAAACAATTTTAGTTTAAATTTGTACAAAAAGAATTTTATTTGAAACAATAATAATTAATTATGAGACATTTGAAAAAAAGGTACATTTTTGTTTTTTTGTGAAACACTTTAAATTTATTTTGATAATATTTTTATTTTATTTGGTACAATCATATTTATTTGTTGAACATTTTTAAATTAATTTGAAACTAACTGTAAATCTTATTAACACTTAAAAAAACACTTCCTGTTAAAAGTGTATTCAAATATTCATTTAATTTTTCGGGAATTGACCACTTATTTTTTAATATTATAAATGTAGTAAAACAAACTATATTATTAAATTATCAAAATGATCTAATAACTTACCAATTGAATAATAAAAAAATAAAAATAAGCAAGTTTTATATAAAAAATTTGTTGTTAATTCACTTATACTTATTATAGCTTTGTTGTTCTGTTTTATTTTTCGAAATAATTGAAGAGACTTGTTAACACCACTTATTAAACTCAATATGTTTCACCAAAATCAGTTGTCATTGCAGTTTATGTTGATATTATTTAGTGAAAATATTAACTTTTAAAACCAGATAAACTTGAGTTACAAATTGGTTTTCCACCCATAGTGAATAGAATTTGATTGTGCTGTTAAGTATTCAGAACAGGTACTTTGTTGAATTTTTTTATTTGTTAAATAAATAATATAGTATCTATTAGTTTTCAAACTAAAAATCAAACTAAAAATAAAAAACTGATTAAAAAATAAAATTGATGGTAAATGAGAGAAAGCGTTATCGCTTTGTTTGAAAGTATTTTTGTTTTAGTGAAATTGCAGAACGTTGATGTGAAAAACACCACGTTGCTATGTATTTATGATGTCGCAGTCAATATGAACGACGCATTTATCACACAAATTACGCCTAGTTGATTTTATAATTCAAGAGAAAAAGAAGGATGAACCAAACACAAATTGTTTAACTCCTTGTCGTACTTTTGTGTGTGTTCGCGAAAATAAATCGCGTTCTTAGTGAGAGATATCTTTTACGTTATCATGACAAAGTTTGCATTTCTTTTACACGACTTTGGACAAGAAAAAATAACTTGGCCTGTGGTGTATATGTGTTAGAAATTG